GTGTGTGTGTGTGCGCGTGTGTGTGTGTGTGTGAGAAATGAACCAATAAATGCAGTGTTGGTGTCACTGAAATGCAATTAGTTTTATTTTTATATTTTCCCTTTTTATTTCAATTTTTATTTATTTTGTATTTATTTTTTATTGTCATTTTAGTTTTAAACTAAACTAAAATGAGAAATTGCCTCGGCAACTTTTTTATATTTTATGTTATTTTATTCAAGTTACAAAAACAAATTTTGAATGGTTTTAATTTTAGTTTCAGTTTTGGTTAACTATAATAATCCCGTTACAACCCACAACTTTTAAAAGACTGCATATAAAAGGCGGTAATGTTCAATAAAGAGTCATTCATATTTTAAAACTGTTTCATTGTTGTTGACAGTGTTAGTTACTGAACCTGTAGGTTTAATGATGCATGACACTGTGAACTTTTAAAGGTCTGTATTTTTACTTTCGCTTTGAGCTCGCTGCTGGCACTGATAACTGCCTTTGCTCTGGAGAAGTGATAGACCGGGCCTCTTCTGAGTTATGATAAGAGTTAAAGAGCCTACAGAAAAACAAACATGCGAGACAGATTATACACGCTACTGCGGCTTCAACGTATAGTCACTCTGAGCAGATGAAAAGAGCCTCTGGAAGGAGGAATAATGAGATAACTGGATCGTCACAAAACATGACTGACAGACGCTGAGACCTAAAGAAAAAGTTAGAGCGACCACAGATCAATGTGATCTTCCTGAACTATTTTTATTAGGGATGCACCGATACCACTTTTTCCAGTACTCGCCCGATACCGATAGATCTGAAAGAGAGGAAACCGAAAGAAAATGATGATGATATACACTACCGTTCAAAGGTTTGGGGTCAGACAGTCTTTTATTCAGCAAGGATGCATTAAATTGATCAAAAGCGGCAGTAAAGACATTCATAATGTTACAAAACATTTCTATTTCAAATAAATGCTTCTCTTTTGAACTTTTTCTATTCATCAAATAATCCTGAAACAAATGTATCGGTGGTCCACAAAAAATACGAAGCAGCAGAACTGTTTTCAACATGGATAATAATCAGAAATGTTCCTTGAGCAGTAGATCAGCATATCAGAATGATTTCTGAAGGATCATGTGACACTGAAGACTGGAGTAATGATGCTGAAAATTCTGCTTTGATCACAGGAATAAATTACATTTTACAATATATTTAAATAGAAGTCTTATTTTAAATGGTAATAATGTATATGGTGACAATGCACAGGTTTGAAGTTAACATTAGTTAACAACTTTACCTAACAAAAACTAACATATACATTATCTTTTTTTGAGAGCGTTTGTTTCCACTATTCCAGAAAGACGTTTTCTGTCAGATGTTAAATAGATCTTTAAAAAATGTCTTTAAGATGATTGATTTAGACTTACTGGAAAACATTTTCTGTATAAAAAACAGTTTTACATACAAAGAGCTTTTAAAGGGGTCCTATTATGCTCTTTTACAAAGTCTTGATTTTGTTTTGGGGGTGTACTAGAACATGCTCTCATGCTTGGTGGTTCGAAAAACGCATTATTTTTCACATAATTTACATTATTAAAATACCTGATGAAGGTCTACCTTCCGAAAAACAAAATGTGTTGTGATTGGTTAGCTGTCCCAGTGCGTTGTGATTGGCGAACAGCTTAGACGGCGTTTCAGTACTGCCACGCCCCTTGCTCCCAAACAAAACAGCGTTTCAGGCGGTCGTGCACCGGACGAGAAGCACAGCGTCGCGCCACGTCTTTATAATTCAAATACTTTATTTTCTATGAGTATAGGCACACCGGCGGCACCGTTCGGCGTCTGTCTGCGGCGCCCAGCTACGTCGTGTTGTACTTGTAAGAATTGATCTAGACATGCCGAAAATTTTACGCTACAGCACAGCAGCTCTTCTTCCCCTTTGGAGTGGACTTTGAGATTTGTAACTTTCTAGATCTTTTTTATGCCCAAACATACACACTACACACTGACTAAAATTAAAAAAGTGAAAAAGCATAATAGGACCCCTTTAACACTTATTTTAATAATCTTCGAGATGTATGCGTGCTATCTGTGGACAAACTTAGCCAAACCTCCATTCAATTACAGGTACTGTCAGAGAGAACTGGACATGTGAAAGGAGAGTTCAGCGTCTGTATGTAGAGCTGCAAAGTTTGCATATGTGTTTGAGAGGAAGTGCACTCACGATGTAAAGGAAGTCCAGTGCGGTGGTGGAGTGCAGGTCCCAGTTCAGCTTATCCAGAACAATCCTCTCCATCCGCAAGATCTCCGACGGAGAACAGCCACATTTGCTGCTGGACGCCAGCTCTCTCAGAGACGGGATACGCTGCAAAACACATTATATTAGCTATTTATGTAAGGTTGGATCTATAAGTAGGTCCAGCTTTATCTGTACATATACAGTATACATGTATTGAGTTATATATACTATATAGCAAATCTCTACTTGATTGCTTGTATCGTCACAAAATGTGAACTATATTATTGCATAATAATCACTCTGAAACAATGTGTACTGTGAAAAGCATTATACACATGGATTTGACTTGACATTAAAAGGTTATGCAGACAGAAACATCCACAAAAATAAAAAACGAATCTAATCTGAAACCTAATAGTTAAATAATGGCAAAACTTAGGAACTAAATTATAGTAACTGCTTAACTATGTTTAAGCCACATCATGTGGTCAGATCTAGCCAGAAATAACTTTAAAGGGCTGCCAGGAAATAATCGGATTAAAAATCAGTCCAACTTTGGCGTTTTAAGTAGAAGCCAGAAGTACAGAAATCTCAGTCGTTATATTTCTACAGATCATTTCTCACTTCATGAAGCAGCTGAAGGCAATGGTTGTCATCCTTCAGCCTCAGTAAAGGACGCTTTTACTGAAGGCTCATCAAACTGGGGCTGATTTTAGACTCGAGACGTCAGAGATGTTCCATCCAGGATCACCGTTTCCCACAGCAAAATTTAACTTATGCTGCATAAATAAAGCCACAGAGACCCGCGACGACCGATGCTGACCATGAATCTACTCTGTTGCTTCTTAGAATAACAGACATTGTACATTATACAGCATATTAATACTGCATTCACCTCATTTTCCTCACTGGTCTTAACAGCCAGGAAGAAACAAGAGATGGCGATACAGCGCAGGTACTTCGGACGGGCCTGAAAAAGAGACAGAGAGAGTGATCAATAACGGTACTGCAGTACTGCATCTCGTGCACTTTTATGCCACAACAGCAAATGGCAAATGTTTCTCACACACACATGCATTTCCTGTGTTAATTTCCTGTTCATTTAAATGCCAAGGCACAATAACTAATCAGATCTGCAATGACTGACACGTACTTGCATTTAAAAATACATCAAGTGCAGTTTCAGTTTCTCTAAATATAAATAAATAAATAAATACAATTTTAGAATTGTCCCTGTAACCCTTTTGATGTGCTAAAAGAACATGGCAAAGAGCAAAAAACATCCAATGTTGTATAATAAAACAGCTCAGCTAAATAGTGACCTAACTTTCTGTAACGCTTACCATTACATAACAGTCAAAGTTCTATAATAGAGCAAAATAATGCTCAATTCACACAAACGTTCACTGCATCTCAAAAGCACTTATGCTAATTATACAAAAAATAATAACTTTAATTATTATGCAACATGCATAAATTTAAATGCATAACATGCATACATTTAAATGCATAAATTACAATGCATAACATGTGCAAACTTGAATGCATAAATTATAATGCATAATATCCACAATTTAAATGCATGAATTATAATGCATAAATTACGATGCATAACATGCACAAACATATAAATGCATAAATAGTATACTGAATAACCTCCACAAACTTAAATGCAGACATTATAATGCATAAAATCCTAAATATAAATGCATACATTTATAACCTTATATAAAATTACATCATATACAATTTATCATGCCATGTATAAGCTGAACTAGTACACAGGCTTGAACAGAGGTGAAACACAGAAAAGGAGGAGAGAGTATTATTATAATTGTTTTTAAAAATAGGTGTTATTATGTGAAGTACCTATCATGGGCTGCAATTAAGCCAGCCAACACACGGCTAAAAGCTGTTATGGACAGCTGGATAATGGAAAACGCCATAAGCCCACAATCATTGACTGGGGCAGAAGACCTTGACCGGTCAGACGTTTTTAAACTACCTTAACGGCAGAGAGGAAGCGATCCAGGATGCCGATGGCCAGGCAGAGGGTCTCTGGACAGAGCTTCAGCTGGGAATGAACATCCCTCAACCACCGGACGGCCTCATCACGCTTTTCAGGGGAAATATCTGTATCCTGAAGAAGAAACAATGCATTTAATTAGATACATAACATACAGGTTTGCATATGCACTAATCTAAACTGGAATTACCCAAATCGAACCCCTTATTATTGTCTATTCGATCAGACTCAGATGCACAGACATTTATTAATAATAATAATGCATTTTATCATTAACTACTACCCCAAATTAAACCATATTATTTTACTTCTACTTTTTTTTCCATTGTCATTTAGTACAACATGATATACTAAACTTACTAAAACTAAAATAAAATTAACAAAAATTACAGAATATTTAAAAATGAAAACTAATAAAAATGACAAATACACCAAAAATTTATAAAACTTTAACTAAAATTAAATTGAAACATGAAATATAAAAATAAAAATCAAATTAATAAAAAAAATTTAAAACGAATTTACACAAAACTATAACAGTATCTCAAATATACTAAAATAGCATTGATGACCTACAATAAAACGGCTCGGTTCCCGTCAGGATAGACTTGGATAGCAGACCTCTGACACGGTTTCACATATGTGTGTGTTACAAACACAACTGCACCATAAATAGTCATAATACACAGACAACTACATCTAGAGATAACACAGCATCATAAAATTGTACTAATCCCAGTGTCTCACTGTTTACCAAATTAAAGGGTTAGTTCACCCAAAAATGAAAATTGGCTTGTGTTTTACTCACCCTCGAAGCATCCTAGGTGTATATACATGACTTTCTTCTTTCAGACGAATCCAGTTGGAGTTATATTAAAAATTGTCCTGGCTATTCCAAGCTCTATCATTGCAGTCAGCGGGTGTTGCAGTTGAACAGTCCTCAAGTCCTCAAATAAAGCGCGCGCATTCATAATAAAACGTGCTTCGCACAGCTCCAGGGGGTGAATAAAGGCCTTCTGTAGTGAATCCATGCATTTTTGAAAGAAAAATATCCATATTTCAAACGTAATAAACACTTTTATATCACTTCCGCTGACTGTCATACACGGAAGCCGTTCCGGCGGATGACGTAGCACGTCGGCGTTGCGTGACTAGTGACGAACGCGGAGATGCAACAAAACAAAACGCCGGTCACGAATTAGAAGTACAAACCGAAGATTTGCAAAGACAAATGTCGGAGGATTTCGATATAAGCCAAGAGGAGACTTAAAGTAAGGAAACTTTGCTTCCTTTGCTCCTGTTAACAAACTCGTGAGACTAGCATATCTCAGAGGCGCGCGCGCTGCACATACGTCATACACCTTCCGCCGGAACACCTTCCGTCTACGCTTCCGCATTTGACAGATAACGGAAGTGAGAGAAAAGTGTTTATTACGTTTGAAATATGGATATTTTTCTTACATTTAAAGCACGTAATAATGATGACAGTATATTGCAACATAACTATTCATATATGCACAATGGACTTACACAGAAACTACCTTAATTTATCTGCATAGCTATCTGTCTCCCACAATGTAAACCAAACAAACCAGAGCTATCAGCTGACAGACTCACCTGGTTGGTAGGTTTCTTTGGCACGTAAGCCTTCCATAGTTTGGCTTCCCTAGAAACTGCCTTCTCTAGAAGAGATGACAGCTTCCGGCTTTCCAGGGGCAGGGTGAACTTCATCACGAACCCTGGAAAAGCCTACCTCCCCACTGGATGCAGCTACCTGAGCGCAGAACACACGGAACATCTCAAAATAGATCAAATATAGTGTCATACATCACAAGGGATGTCTGAGCTGCCTTGGGAATTTGATTTATTAAGTCTATTTTTCATCACAGTTCTTTATTTTTTCTTGGTTAAATAAATAAGTAAACCGTTAAATAATTATGTTGTCCAACCTGCTTTAAAAATATATATCATATATGTACTAACTACAACATACATAAAATATGTATTATATATAATTTAACTTAAATATAACTATATATATATTTATAATAGTAAAAACAGTAATGATATAATATAAATACAAATATTATTGTATTATATGATACATTGACATTCCTATCGATACTGGTTATGATTCAAATATAATAATCATTTTAATTTCATTATTTTAATTCAACAAACTCAAATCAAAAATACTTTAAAAAAATATATATATATTGATAAATCACCTCTCATCTGATTATCACGATTTCACCTGTTACTTTAAGAATGAGAACTGATTCATCATCCTATTCATGCTATAGATGCAATATGGTGTATAAAAGAATAACACCAATATTGTTTAGTGTAAACAATGACATTAAACACTAAACCCCACATCACCATCTTAATATGAAATGTTGATAGTGTTGACGCGGTTTACATTTGGTAACTTACGTGTTAGCAGACTAGCTACACAGCAACAGATCAATATACACGCAATCTCACACACCTAGCTACACCGAAAAGACAAAAATAGTATTGTATGTGTATATTCATGTCCAGTGTCGCTGGTTTAATGAGGCTAAATGGTTAAATATGTCCATAAAAGCTCTTAGAAATGGTTAGATTCTTACCTCCCCTGCAAGGTTGTGGGAAACGCAGATCATCCGGTCCATTAAACTGAGGTAAAATAAAGCAGCAGATCGGATTCCGTCATCTTTTTAAGCGTCCAGCTTCGCCTCCATGTTTGCCGTGAAATTTGATGGGAGTTTTAAAAACTAAAAGGGATCCTTCCAAACTGATGTTAAAAATAAAATGAACGGAATATAGACACGAACGTCTACTTCCGAGGACGAGACCGAGAAGTGAAGAACCACCTTCCGCCGACCTCCTCACCGCACACAGACAGCTACACAGAGAACCTTTTCTTATGAATTAAAAAAGATCAAGAAAATTTTTAAACGGTTAAAAATGCTAGAAAGTACATTTAAATGTAGATCTAGTCGGAGGTTTCATTTTCAACTGATTTTTTTGTGAATTCGGTAACTGTCATAACGGAACTACTTAACCTGTCGAATGGATTTTGGAGTGTAGCTCGTACTGTAGTAGAGGAACTACTTTCAAATGCAATCCTATTCAGGGTCTCTAGATGACACAGAAATACATAAAACATCGTACAAAAGAGATATTAAAAGGATTAATATAAAGTAGATAAGGATTATTAATTATCTAACGTTACTTATGGTTTTAGTACTATTAGCCTAATTTCTATATACTGCTTTTATGTCTCATGTGTCTGTAATCCTTGGTGCAAGACGTTCTTGTACTGTGTTTTGTGTGTCTGTTGTATTGGACTGTGAAGTTAAGTGTATTTGTGGTAGTCCTATATGTTTTTGCGGGGCCGAAGATGAATTTCCACATGTGTGGACAATAAAGATTTCTAATCGAATTAAATGTCTGAATAAATAAATTATAATACTTTTAACATCTAGATATTTTTCCTTCGCGGATATTAAGCTTTAGAAAGAAAGCTTAAAAAGTTTAAACATAAATTCCGATATTTTCTTCGATGTGATCTCTTGACCTAAAAGAATATTCTCGCCTCTCTCACGTCAGGTTAATATAACAACCGAATCAGACTTCACTACATATCAGATCTGTTATAATATTCAGCTAAAACGTCGACAACACATGTATCATTTAATGAATATCGAAAATAAAAATAATGGTGTAAAAGAGGAAAACACAAACTGTTATCAAGAAATCAGCATCTGAGAAAAGAATGCATTTGTACTATATTTTCTACCCCCTGGCAACCCTGTCACAACAAAACCCAGCAACAACCATTCACAGAGAAGGGCGGGCTATCGGTTCGCTAACCAATCGTCGACGTCTACATGAAAACCAGCAGCCAATGAGCGCTGAGAATTTTGGGCGGACTATTTGAACGCTGCATCTTCGAGCGATCCTATTGGTCCGTAAGACTGTCAATATCTTACAACACAGAACGCTTTAAAACTATGCTTGTATGTTTTAATAGCCGAAATATTTTAAAACAGATATGACATAACGATAAGATATGATAAAATACACTTAACTAAATATAGAAATGATAACAGCAGCCGTTCTAAAACGCATAAAACTATCTAAACAGAGCGACTTACGTTTCCTACGTGACAGGCCCAGGGGGAGGAGCTACATTCAACATCAACAAAAGGAAAGAGAAGCAGCGAAAACAAGACGAAAGATTCTCGGATACACAAACACAATATGCCCTTTTAACATCCCTGGTAATGTACCTTTATTAACCTTCTATAAAATATTTGTTTCCTTTTAAATCGTCTATGTAGATGAATTGTCACAGTTTAAATGTTATGGTCGTATTTCTTTTTTTTCTCCTGAAAATGGGCTTGATCTTTGGCTATGCTTGTATTTATGGACTAACGTTAGAATTTGACGAAGTAATCTGTATGTTTCCTTTCGACTTTAATGGCATTTTATGCCATTTTATCGATCATTTGTGTATGTCACTAATGCAAATTATAGATTTATTTTACTGGAATGACCGAATCCCTTGTTATTTTTGGTCGTCTTTAATATTTACTTTCTAAGCCAGTAACGTTACATTTGCAATTTGAAATCAATTTCCGTATAAATTTGAGTCGAGCCGATAGATCAGTTTAACGTTTCAGCTCCCGATTTATTATACTGTAATATACAAATACGTCGTATATAATTTAATGTCGAAAACAAACTGTACAGAAGATTTAAACCCCTCCCCCTCCAGTCGAGGTATTTTCCAGCTGAAGAATCAACTGGACTCCACTGGATGACATTCACTTTCGATCCAGTTTTAACCTCGTTATTTAGCTCAAAGCGATTTAAAAAGGACGATTTCACATTTATTTGTCCATCTCAGTCGGAATGGGTCGGGCTTATTTGTTTGGATGTCCTGTAGGAAGGCGTTAACCAGCGAAACCCGACACCGAGGCTCAGCTGAGCGGAGGGGGCTGGGCAAAGCCTTGACCCACTGCCCTGGGTGAACGGAATTTACTTAACTTTGCTTTTCTATGCCCTTTTAAAGGTGTTTTGACGACTTGAAACACAAATAAAGTGAAAATATGGAGGCATTCAGACTGATGAAGGAACTGAAGAGCAATCTGGACCAGGAGGTTCAGTATCTGCCGAAGGAAACCGGACTCAGTTTGATTGAATCCACACAAGAGGTAAACTAGTTTTACAAACTCCTGTGAAAATGCATTTACAAACTTCATTTGAAAACATAAATAACAGTTATGGGAATTTGCACTGTATTTCTGTACATTGCATACTGTAAAAATACTTTTTGTGATGTAACGTTGCATGCAAAACAATCTTTTACTCTTAAGGCATCTGTTACTTAATTTCTCCTCTTCCACTCAGAACGGTAATGGAGTTTCAGCCAAATGTCGAGATGCTCGAGTGGAAGATCTCTGGAGCTTGACCAGTTTCTTCGGTTACAGCACTCAGACCTTTGTACTAGCCGTTAACCTGCTGGACAGGTTTATAGCTATGATGAAGGTAACCAGTTAGTTATAGGTCAATCCATCTGATTAACAAGTATTAAAACGTGTTATGACTGATCGCTTTTGTGTTGCCTAAAGGTTCAGCCCAGGTATCTGGCCTGCATCAGCATCGGTTGCCTTCATATCGCCGTCCGAGTGACCGAAGAGGAGTGCAATGTTTCGTCCAGCCATGAGCTCATTCGCATCAGCCAGTGCAAGTTCACCGTCTCAGACCTCAGCCGAATGGAAAAGATCATTTCAGAGAAGCTCAACTTCCAGTTAAAAGCCATCACAGCCTTAACCTTCCTGCATTTGTACCACGCCATTGCACTTTCGCACACGTCCAACAGGTAAGAATGGCTGGCATTATCAAACTTCAGACTCTGAGCCAGATAAACTCTATTAACATGCAGGCTCGACAATGGAAACTTTGACTTGTAAAGGTTGAGAAACAGAGCTGGCAAGTGCACTTTGCTGTATATGGGTCACAGTGACGGCAGAAACTAGGAGATTATCTTCTGACTAGACTTGTTAAATAACAGCTTGGCTAACAAAATCTCTCTAATGCACCAATTCTTTTTCTCCTTTTCAGAAAAGACGTCCTGAATCTTGACAAACTTGAAGCCCAGCTGAAAGCCTGCCTATGCAGAATTGTTTTCTCCAAAGCAAAAGTAAGAACAACTTAAACAGTGATTCTTGAAGCAAGTTGCATAGAAGTTTGCATTCTGATGAACTCTCTTTTTTTAGCCTTCGGTGCTCGCTTTGTCGCTCTTGATGCTTGAGATCGAGGCCTTACAGTCTGCGGACCTGCTAGAAATCGCCCAGCGCATACAAACACACTTGAAGGTAAAAATTCATGTGTCAACTTTTTTAAACACCCTGAGCATCAATAAAAACTTTTTAAAAGTGAAGAAATTAAGTTAAATGTCACAGGCTGCTCTGTTTGGTTCAAAGTCAAGAAGTTTAATCAGACAATTTGTAGACAAAAATATACCTTTCGTTTCAGCAGCACTTAAAGATCTATGGAGTAGGAAGAATCCAAAGCTCTTAACCCAGTCCTGTTGCCAGCAGGCTATTGGTTTACTCCTGTCCAAAATGAGGCTGGCTCTCTGCCCTGTCCTTATGTAAGTTGGTGTCTAATGCAGCCGTGTCTGTTTGCAGATCTCCAAGGCTGACCTAGCGCGCTGGCGAGGTCTGGTAGGTCAATGTATGAGGGAATACTCCTCTCCAGAATGTGCCAAACCTGATCACAAGAAACTGGTGTGGATCGTCTCGCGGAGGACGGCGCAGAACCTGCACAGCAGCTACCGCAGCGTCCCCGAGCTTCCAACCATCCCGGAGGGCGCGTGGGACGAGAGCGAGAGGTAAACACAGCTCACCTGAGGAAAAACACAGGCGTTAGGATGACACACTCGTACTAAACAGTCAATAGAGGCAGAACAGAAAGGAATATTCGGGGTTAACCGCATAAAAATGGTTTTGGTCAAGCTTTGATTACCACAGAAAATCATTTAGACTCGTCATTCAGTTTGTGAAAACAAGCAAAAATCAGTTATGTTTGCAGTGGATGTCTAAGAGGCAAATGCACTAGTCAAAATGAAACTAAATTTAAAGCTATTCAAATTTGTTTTTTGGTAATTGGAATAATGTTAAATATAAGATGACAATAAATTGAAAAAAAATGAAAAACTTCTTAGTTGCAAATGCGATATTTCTTTCTGAACGCCCACCCAGTGTTGCACTATCAGGTGTCCTTACAGTGTTACTTGATAACTACGAATAGTTAGTCACGTCCTAGCAACCAACCCAAGAGTGTTTTTCTCGCAAGGAGCAATAAGTCATTCCTGAGGCTCACCAACACAGCTGATTACAAGCTGAAAATCCAGACAGGACATACTGTTTTGAGATGGCTAATGGCTTAAATATGCATACACGCCAAACTAGGTGCAGCAGTGGAATGTGGGTAGTGAATAATGACTATTTACAAACAGGTCACAGGTTGTGCTACATCACCTGTGAGTAAGAGAAGGGCATGCAAGGTGGGGTCAGTTTGACAAAGTAAAAAACAAGATCTGACATTTGACCGCCCCCCCCCTATTACGACTGTAGTCGTAATGAGTAATATTCCAGGTGAACCGCATACATGATTTCAGTCAAGCTTCATTACCACAGATAATAATTTAGACTTTAGTTTGTGCTGGGCTGCATGATAAATCGCATGTGATTGTCATGCGCATCTCGTCAGTAAAGCCGGTTCTGTGATTTACCGTACAGAGCCGTTGTTCACCGACAAGCTGCGCAAAACCACGATCATATTTTGCACCGCTTGTCGGTGAACAACGGCTCTGTGTAGTTAATG